GTGATTTTAACCCTTTTATCAATAAAACTTTGAGGTACTCTTTTCATTCTACCGTTTTTATGAATACCTTTTTTGGTGTTCGGCAATTATGAAGGGGTTTTTAACGATACCTTTGATTCTTAAAAAAAAGTCTAATTTGCATGTATTTTGTTTGATTCCAATTTTCAATTTATGGAATCTTGAGGTGTTAAAATTCACAATATTCTTTGATGTAGGGTGCCCTTTTAGCTGGTATGACTTTCAGATAACTTTCTTATTGAAAAGGTCGAAACATGAAAGGAACTTGGTTCAGAATATTTGGAGGTGAGGGTGATAAACTGTTTCATTATTTATAGAAGAATATCGTTACTTTAAATACATGTGTGAATATTAGGTTGATGATCATATCATTTTAGTTTAAAAAAAACAAAAAGGCATCAAAGATCCTTATATTTTTGAAAAAATTAATATAATCATCAAATTATTTTTTCACCCAATGTGGCATTCTAACTCAGAAAATATATCCAATGTGGCCCTTCGACGTTTTCTATCTTTGATCGTTGTGCTGACATGGCGATTCACGATGCTAATGTTATGGTTCACAGTGCTGATGTGACAATTCATGGTGACTGATAACATGATGAATGACACAGTAAATAAGCTAAATTGATTTTTTTTTTGTTTTGTTTTGTTCGAGAACCAAATTGATTTTTCAATTTTAGGGGCTCATATAATTTTTATAAAAACAAATTATTTTAAATTTTAAATATAAAAAAATATAAAAAATTAAAAATTAAAAATTAAATTAAATTACTTAAAAGTAAATATATATTAAAAATACTACTAAAATTTTAAAGAATTATAAAAAAATATAAATTATCAAAATGTCAAAAACATTTTTAAAAACATATATTATACATAATATATACATCTAACATATGATTATATCATCAACACTTATACAAAGTACTATGATTAGATTAGCTGAGACTTACAAAATTTGTATCTAAATATAACTAGAAAACATTGTAAGTTACTTCAATTAATACACAAATCTAATCATATTTCATATAACTTTTAAGCACCACATTATATACTAGCTTATTAGATTATTTGCAAGAATTTACGAATGGTCCTTAGAATTGTTCGAATATTAGTAACTTTGTGTATTGATTCACAAAATTTATTATTATTCCTAATTATATTTAATTACAAAATTTGTAAGTTTCAACTAATTCAGTAAGAATACTTTATATAAATATTGATGATATGACTATATATTACATGTATATATTGTAATACATCTTTTTTAGGAAATAATTTTTAATAATTTGTGAGTTATCATATTATAGTTTATTATATATATTTAATTTTCCATATTATTTTTTATATTTAAAATTTTGAACATTTGAATATTTTTATACTTAAAATTTTAAATTTTAAATAAAAAATTTGTTTTTAAAATTAAATAAGCCCATGAACTTTAAAAAAAATTAATTTGACACTGGAACAAAACAAAAATACAAATTTAGTCCATTTGTCATGTAATCTGCCACTGTAGACCGTCGCGTTAGCACTGTGAACCGCTATGTCAGTTTTGTAAACTGCCACATTAGCACAATAATAGTTAATGATAGAAAACATAGGTCAAAGGATTATATTGGGTATGTTATCTGAGTTAAAGGCTACAAGAGCTGAAAAAATAATTCAAGTGTCTCATTCATTTTTTTTCTCGAAAGTATAAGTGTGTCTCTGATGCTTTTTGTCAAAAATAAATAAATAAATAAAAAAATGTTGGTAGAAGGTTTTGAGGTCAAAATGGAAATGAAAATTTGTTATTAATACGATGGTTGGTTACCACCGGTGCAGTGAAGTTGTGGGTGATATGTTGTGGCAATTTTACGTCGCACTCCATATTTTTGTAATGCCTTGGCAATTAGCTTATTATCAAAGTAGGTGCCCTTGTCACTGATGATGGCTCTTGGTACTCCAAATCGAGTAAAGATATTCTTGTGAAGGAATTTGAGCACTATCTTTGAGTAATTCCTCGATGTGGAATTTCTTCAACCCACTTAGACACGTAGTCCACCGCTAGCAAGATGTATAAGTCTCCAAAAGAAGATGGGAATGGTCAAACGCCAAAGATATCTATCTCCAAAATATTTTGCAATGGCATTTCATGTCGTCTGGAAATGTTTCCAATGCGCTGGCATCTATCGCATGCTTTGCAAAACTCGTGGGCATCCTTAAACAGTGATGACCAATAGAAGCCTGATTGGAGGACCTTTGCAGCAGTTCTCACACCTCCAAAATGCCCTCCATAGGGTACTGTGTGGCAATGGTGTAAGATGTCTCGTTGTTCCTCTTCGGGGACACACCGTCGAATCATTTGATCGGTGCATTATTTAAACAAGTACAACTCGTTCCAAAAATAGAACTTGGCATCATGATAGAACTTCTTATTGCCTTGGCTGTTCAATTCATAAGGAAAAACACCACTAACAAGAAAATTGACAAGGTCAGCGTACCACGCAATTGCCGTGGCATATAAAATTTTCTCATTAGGGAATTCTTCTTTAATATCAAAAATGTCATGGCATTCTGAAATGTTTTCTAGCCTAGATAAATGATCTGCAACCTGGTTTTCAGTACCTTTCATATCGATTACCTCTAAGTCGAACTCTTACAGTAGTAATATCAACCTAATCAGTCTAGGCTTGGCATATTTCTTGTTCACTAAGTATTTTTATAGCTGAGTGATCGGTGTGAACTATGACTTTAGTGCCTGTCAAGTATGGCCTAAACTTTTCAAATGCAAATACCACGAAAAGTAGTTCTTTCTCAGTGGTAGTATAGTTCAATTGTTCCTCGTTCAAGGTACGACTAGCATAATATATAACATGGAAAATTTTACCTCTTCGTTGCCTAAGCACAGCTCCCACGGAAAAGTTACTTGCATCACACATTAACTCGAACGGTGATGTCCAATCTGGGGGAACCACGATCGGTACAGGGATAAGTCTTCACTTCAGCTCATTGAATGTGCCGTGGAATTTCTAATCGAACACAAACGACTGGTTCTGTTGCAACAAGGTGCACAAAAGCTTGGATATTATGGAGAAGTCTTTGATGAATCGTCTATAAAAACCAGCATGTCCAAGGAAACTCCAAATACCCTTGATAAAAGTTGGTGGGGGTAGCTTCTCGATCACCTCGATCTTGGCTTTGTCCACTTCAATGCCTTTTGCAGAAATCTTATGGCCTAGAACAATGCCTTTGGTCAACATGAAATGACATTTTCCCAGTTCAGCATGAGATCGGCCTCCTCGCATCGCTTCAGTACCTTCGCCAAATTATCGAGGCATTTTTGAAAGTCATCTCCAGAAATAGAAAAATTATCCATGAAAATTTCAAGAAAATCCTCAACCATGTCTGAAAATATGGCTTGCATGCAGCGCTGAAAAGTTGTCGGGGCATTACAGAGTCCAAAAGGCATTCTTCGAAAAATATAACTGCCATAGGGACACGTGAATGTTGTCTTCTTTTGTTCCTCCAGTGCTATGGAAATTTGATTATACCCCAAGTATCCATCCAATAAACAATAAAATGCCTTGCCAGCAAGTCGATCCAACATTTGATCGATGAACGACAAAGGGAAGTGATCCTTCTTGGTGGCCTTGTTGAGTTTGCGGTAGTCTATGTAGATTCCCCACCCGGTGACAGTGCATGTAGGTAATAACTCGTTGTCTTCACTTTCCACCACGGTCGTGCCTCCTTTCTTTGGTGCACATTGGACAGGACTCACCCACTAACTATTCGAAATGGGGTAAATCACTCCAGCATCAAGCCATTTGAAAATCTTTTTCATCACAACTTGCTTCATGATTGGGTTTAATCTTCGCTACAGCTCTATGGATTTTCCATGGCATTCTTCCAGCAGGATTTTGTGCATGCAGATTGTTGGACTTATTCCCTTCATATTTGCCATCGTCTATCCTAACGCTCTCTTATGCTATGACAAAACACTAAACAAACTAGATTCTTGATTAGGAGTAAGGGCAGAGGAAATAATCACGGGCAGAGTTTCATTACTACCCAGATAATCATATTTAAGATGTTATGGCAAATTCTTTAGCTCTAGGGTAGGAGCATGTTGTAATGAGGGCTTGGAGGAACAAATTCTTCAAAATTCAAAGGTTCAAAATGCATACCTGGGCTAGCTCTGAGGAAGCTAGCCTGCTGTTCCTCGGTAGAAAAATCATTAGGGTCTCCAGCCTTTAAGTCTTCAGATAACCCCTCATCAGGTCCCAGCTGAATGAAATTTTCATGGTAAAATTGATCTACTTCTTTTGTGATTACTGTGTCCACTTCTAAACTGCTCTGTTATTCTTCAGAATCATCCATGTATTTGAGAGATCAGAAGACATTCACAATGACATGTTGGTCGGCCACTCTCATGGTCAGCTCACCACTCTCACAATCGATGAGAATACGACCGGTAGCTAGGAAGGGTCTCCCCAAAATTATGGGTGTTATGGCATCAACCTCATAGTCCAGAATAAGAAAATCGACTGGAAAAACAAACTTGTCAACCAGCACGATGACATCTTGTATTCGCCCTTCGGGATGAACATGTGAACGATAGGCTAATTGCAAGATAACAGAGGTGGGTCTTGCATTACCTATCCTTAGTTTTACGAAAATTGACTTAGGCATCAAATTTACACTTGAGTCGAGGTCACATAGTGCCTTCCCAACGAATTTGTCTCCTATCGAACATGGGATGCTAAAATAGCCCGGATTATGTCTCTTTGGTGGCAGCTTGCTTAAAGAAGAGCAAAATTCTTTTGTCGTGGCAATTGTTTCATACTACTAAACTTTTCTCTTCTTGGTAACAATTTTCTTGAGGAACTTAGCATATGTCGGCATTTGTTCCATAGCCTCCAGAAAAGGAACATTGATTTGAAGTTGACTCAGAATGTCAATGAACTTCTTGAATTAAATATCCTCGCTATGCTTCTTCAGTCTTTGCGGAAAATGAGGTGGGGTCTGGCTTTCTGTACTGATGGGGTGTGAACAAAAGTTGCCTTGGTATTTTCATTTGTCACCTCAGTCGCTTTACTCGATGAACCCTTGTCCTTATCCTCTTCCACCGAGGCTTCTTCCGACACTTCTTGATCAGCTTGCACGGTCTCAGGGGTTGAATTTTCCTTCGGTCTTCCCTCAAACTTATCTTCAACATTAATTTGTGTACCACTTCAGAGAGTTAGCACACTGCATTACTCCTTGCCATGAGGTTTTGTGACTTCAGTATCACTCGGAAAATGTCTTGGTCTACGTTCTTGTAATGCCGCGATAATTTGATAAACCTGACTCTCCAATGCCCTCAATGATGAACTGTGGCTCTGAAGTAGGGCTCCTTGATTTTTGATGGAGGTCGCATGGTCTTGCAATATTATCTTCGTTGTTTCTATGAACTCTTTCATTATGCCCTCCAAAGAACTGGTGTTAGATGAAGATGACCCTCCCTTGTTAGAATTATGCCATGTCATGTTCGATTGAAAACCCTGGGACTCATTGAAATCCTGCTGCCGAGCTGGTTGATGATCATTGCTGGTTCCTTGATTTCCCCATGAAAAGTTTGGATGCTGTCGCCATCTAGGTTTATATGTTTTAGAGTAGGGGTTGTTGTTACCTCGGTTGAAGTTGCCTACATAATAGATGGATTCTTGATTGGTCGGGTATTCACTCTCATTGTGATTGACGTGGCATAATAAACATGCTAAATTGGCTGTCTTCAATTCTCTCACTTCGCTTGGCCTCTGCAAATTATTCAACATATTCGTGATAATAGCAAGTTGGGTGAACACCGTATCCTTAGAATCTAGATCGAAAGCTCCATGTGATTTTCGTCCAAGTCCAAGCCTTGTGGATGGAAACTGATAATCATTAGTTGCAATCCTATCTAAAATGTCAAATACCTCTACTGGTGATTTGTCAAGTAATTCCCATTTGCCGAGGCATCTAGTATCATCCTCGTGGGCGCGTTAACTCCATTATAGAACATCACCACTTACATTCAATCTTGAAAACCATGATTCGAGCATTTTCGAAGCAATCCCTTATATCGATCCCAACATTCATACATCGACTCATTATCAGCTTGACGAAAGGAAGCAATATCGTTCCTCAGTTGGTTGTTCATGTTCAGAGGATTATACCGCAGCAAATTTTTTTGCATAGATCAGTGCACGACTCCATTGAACCCGTTGGAACGCCACTCAACCAATCCCTTGATTGGTCACTCAGAGAATATGGAAATAGTTTTAACTTCAAGACATCTTCGTGCACTCCTTGTTGACAAAAAGAATCGTACACCTCCAAGAAGTTTCGAATATGCTGCCTGGCATCTTCATTTGGCATGCCCCCAAATTTCCCTAAAGAATTCAGCATATCAAACATGACAGGTTTGAGCTCGAACTGGGCTGCCTGAATCTCTGGTGCCACTATTCTAGGATTTAAGTCATCTAGGATTGGGTTTAAGTGATCACGAATGGCACGAGGTCGGGCTGTATTCCCAACATTTAGATTAGCCTCGGCATTTTGATCTTCCTCATGACTAATGCCTTGAATTCTGATTTGATATATATTTGCACGTTGAGCACGTCTTCTTCTCCTAAAGAGCCTCTCAATCTCAGGTTCAATCAGTTCTAATGGCTCGTCATGATGTCCTCTGGTCATACACAAAAAAAAACTGAAAAAGGTAAGAAAAATAAAAGGTAAAACTATATAAAAGCGATATAAACAAGTAAAATAAAAATGCTATGAAAAAATAATTTAACTTCTAGTTGCCAATCCCTGGCAACGGCGCCAAAAACTTATCCGCTCTATGTAAGTACTAAGTATGGGTGCGGATATATGTGCAAGTATACACAATCGAACAAGTAATACAGTGATAAGTGAGGATCGTCTCTACAAGGATTGGGGGAAATCAAATAAGTTTGTCAAGGAACTTTACTTTGTCACCTAAGTAAAGTTATACAAAGGATAATGTTGTTGCAAAATGGAATGAGTGATATGGAAATGGAATGATGCCAATGTGGTAGCAAATGGATATGTAGTGGAAAAATGGAATATTTTTAGTGCAAATAGATGGAAATGTCAAGGCAAAATGAAATGTAAATATACGAGCTGATTAATAGGACTTTGTCTTTCTCACACGACAAGCTATTATGGGAATGAGTAATGGGAGTCACTCTAGAAAACCTAAGTTTACCTCTCGGAATGATCTTATCTCTATGCCTCTTCTGCCCGACAGAGTATACTAAGGTGCCCTATGCTATCTCTAGTAAGAGACTCGACAGATTGAAGATGCCCTGGCAAAACCGATTGGCGTAAACCCCTGCAGTGATCCTATTGGTCCAGATAACAGGATATATCTCGACAATACCTTTTTGTGGCAGCATTAACATCTAACCTATCGTTCATACACAACTCCTTTTAGTCGAATAAAATCCTAGCCTTATCTCTTAGGTGGATTAGGCCTAGTTACTACCTAAAACACCTTGTTTATGTAGTTCCTCCCTAGTTTCTCTCGAACACTAAGGATGTGTTATCTCGGTATTCTCTCGAACCCAAAGAATCTCCTAATGAATGGCTACTCTCGTAGCTCCTACAACCTTAAGGCACTAAGTTTCATAAACAAAACAGATTATAGCATAGAAAAGCAACCATTCATTGAAATAAAACTTAAATATCCAAATGAACTCCCACCAAATAGGATTAGTTCATTGTGGGGTTCGAAATAAACAAGCACAAAGCAAGTTTTATCCGTTCCTTATAACCCAAATAACAAAATATGAAAGCAAAGAACTAAGGGAAGGAGAAAAACCCTTCGACGTGCACTGTCGGAGCTTCTCTCGGCCACCATGAACTGCCCCAGCGAACTAGCTCCTCTCGGATGCTTAGAACACCACTCCCTCAAGCTTGTCAAGGAGAAATTCCACAGCAAGTAGGATTGACGGAGAAAGGCAAGACCTTCTCTCTCTAACTTTTAAGCTCAAATCAACGTGGAACCAAAGTCTTCTTCATTTAGGCTTCATCCTCTATTTATAGGGGAAAATTAACCCTAGGACTTGGTGTTGACTTTCCTAGGATACCCTAAACCATGGTTAAATTACTTGGGGATCGGGCAGAGCTGGCTATGATCCAGCTTGGGTTGCTGGCTGAGTACCCAGTATGATCCCGTTGTAGAAGCCCAAGGACAGACAGGATCTGCAGAGTAGACGGCACGGTCAGCAGGATCAGCTGTAGCAGCGCTGATCCCTCCGGGCAGATTTCTCGGGCAGAGGTCACGTGAAAGTAGAAGACAACTGGCTTCAAAAATATATTCTTTTACTTTGTTATCTCTCGAAATGCCAATCCAACTCGACATTTTCATTCTTCTCAGCAGTCTCCTTTTGTCATGGCATTTCCTTTTCTCTTTTCCTTGCTCTCAATTCCTGTACATCATTAGATAAGCACCTTTTCCATAAGGCAACACCACTTTCAAAATAAAATGTCGCGGCAAACCTAATTCCACCACATGTAACTATATGCTTCTAAATACATCTACATGTTCCTAAATTAGCTCTTAGACATTCAATAACTTAAGTGAAAAGGTCCCAAAATATGACATTTTTATAGAGTTATCACACATTCACACTTAGAGATGGTTTTCATGTTAAACCTCACACTTATGAACAACGAGAATGTTTGACTCGTTCAATCACACATTCACATTATATATAGATTTTTGAAAAACATTTTGAAAATTCTATGCATCATTTGCAACACATCACATTCACATTTCATATCAAATGCATATTTCTAATTCACATTCCATGAATCACAATCTTTCAATGCACCATAACCCATAGTCACCATGTCATAACAAATATACACTAACAATGATTACATGCTTTCATTACATCATATCTTGTATTTGACATGCTTTAACACTCACGCTCGCATATAATGCTTTCTTCCAATGCATCATGAATCATAATTAATACAACATAACTCATATAACTATTTGAATCGCATTCTTTCCATATATTCTTAACTAATAATCAACATGCTTTTATACACACACTCATTATGACAATTCACTTTCAATGTTGCATAAGTCATGCCATACAATGTTCACAATGTTCACATTGATCACATTCTTTAATTTGCACATTATGAATTAACACAATCAATTATCACAGCAAGTATACCAACTTAGAACCTAAAATTTAGAGTTTATGTATAACTAAACCTTCATTCAACATTGAACAAGTTCATCATAAGTGAATGGACAACAACTCACCTTAATGGTGCAACCACACGATTCGACCCCAAACGCTAACCAAATGACCTCCAACAATTGATGAACCATTTCTCCCCGATCCTACACACCTTAGGTACCTTAGAAATCAATTCAACATGTCACAAAAACATATGAAACAGAGCAAAAAATTATGCTTCTACAATAGAGCGAAAATTAACCTAAAGATCGACAAATCTTACTGAAATAACTCTCAAAGCCTCCGATCCAATCGACCCTACTTTTCCCCAACAAGAACTAATTAATAACAACTAATATCAGCATCTAAACTCATATATAACCCTCTCAATTTACATCAGTTAATTGTAATTCCCAAATTTTTAAAAAAAGTCGAAATCAAGCTTGTTTTGAAGAATTCCACATCGAAATCAAATGAAATTGAAAAACTGATTTAGTATGATAATAATATCATCAAAAACACCTTATTTAACCCAAGAAAACCTTAAAAAGTGATCAAGAAAAGTAGAACATTAGATACCTCCGAAAAAACACTTTTAATTCACAACTTCTCTTTAAAACAATTGTTCAATTAAAATCATCAATCACCTTTGATCATTAATCGTTGAAGCAAAAACAAATCCAAGGAAGGAGCATTACATTGCAGGAAAATGAAAGGAAGAAGAAGATCAACAATGGCAACACCAAAGAGAACAAGGAAAACGACAAAGAAGAAAAAGAGTAGAAACAATCTTAATTGAAGAGAGAATATCAAGAAGAAAGGAGTAAAAATCAATAACAAAGGAATAGAAAATGAAGAAGAAGAGTTTTATCCATTAAAGAGAACTTGGGAGAGTTTGGAAGAAAATACAAGAGTGTTTGGATGAGAGAAACTGAAAGGAACGTTTAATGAAAATTATAAATGAAAATAAGTAAAGAATAAAATAATAAATCTAGATGGAAAATTGGCAAAAATGAGATGAATTATATTGTTAAGAAAGGAGGGAAAAACCTTCCACACAAGCATTGGTAAAATAGCTTCATAGATTTTTTATTTGTGATGTTTTACAATTTAGTCACTAAAAACACAATTTCCAATTCATTCAATTTAGTCACCTTGTAAAACCAACTTATAAATTCCTAAAAATAAAAATCAATAATTCAACCCCTTCAAATCATTTTAGAAAATATTTATCAATTTAAAATATCGATTTTAATATTTTTACCAGAAATCTGACGACCGACTTGAAACTACCGACCTAGATTTTGGGATTATACATGCTCTATCCCTGGTTGTAATGGCTTTGAACATCATCATCGCCATCATCAAATGGTGTCGTGAAAGCAAAAAATATCACTCTATTCTTCTTGAGGGGTTCTATAAGTTGACCGATACCACTCAGCCAAAGTGTCGAGGTCAGTATTCGAGTGCTCATAGTCAACATTGATCCCGTTCAGATTGTATTATTGGGAGAAGAAACTACATCGGGAACCCAAGAATCTCAGGTTGCTTATTATATTGTAACAACCTAATCTGATCTTACTTGAAAGCCGATGGATTATGATGCCACACGAAACCACGTAAGTGGTTAACCATTTTTAAACCATTTGACCAAATCAACATAAAGATATCCAAAATGAAATACATTTACAAAATATAAGTGTTTCAAATATGGGGGAGCTCCCAATATCAGTCTCCAAAATGCATAAGTAAAAATAATAATACAAAGTTTGTGACTCAAATACAAAATAAGGGTCTATGGGAGTACATGCCCTTTAAATACTCGAGAATTAATATGAGGAGTCGAGTATGGAAATCCAAGCCTAGCAAAGAGCTCCTCAACTGACACATAAGAACCTGTGCATGGAAACACATTCCATACGCTGAGTTCACAAGCTCAGTTATGGATAAATAACCTACTATACTACATGCATTTAACATATAAGTATGCTATAAGTATGGTCATGGACAATTTCAAATACTAGAGTAACTATCAAGTAAATATCATGGTGTAGTTTGGGGTCACTTAGCCTCGCGAAACTCATACTCCTCTCTACTTACTACGAAACTTAAGGAAGACTTGGGTCACATAACATTAATATCTCCCTAAACTTCGGGTTAAGTCTGGGTCATGAAGCATCAATACTTTACCTAGCTAGTCTACTCCTCTAGAGAAATCGAGATGTATAGCATCGACACAACATCCAACTAACACTTGAGTGTCTGAGCACTAATTTGGATATATCCGAATAATCCTTATACTATTACACTAACGTCCTTAAGTAATCTTTTGCCGCTTCCCGAGTATCTAAAAAAGGCATAAGTCTTATTGAATCTCACCTCATTAAGACCTCATGTTATCACACATTTATTATGATTATTAGTAGTATTGAGATAGAAGAATGTACCCTCTTAAAGGAAACCAAATAAATTTTCTCAAATCATCTAGCGTTACTACCCAAAATTTCACGTAGGTATCGATACTCGCCTGGGAGTATCAATACTCACGCTCCTCAGTATCGATACTCCCTTGAGTATCAATACCAAAATTGCATTCGATTTTTTGGAAAAATACCCCACTATCAATACCCTTATGGGGAGTATCGATAGTACCCGCTGGTACAGATACTCCCTTGAGTATCAATACCAAATTTGTATTCTGGAATTCGATTTGGATTCATGAGTATTTATAATAACCTCTGAGTATCGATACCCTATGAATAATATCTATACCCTTTTCACAAAGTTTTGAAATTTTAGCCTTCTATGACTAGAAGTATCGATATTGTTATTCTAATACTGAATGTATATGCTAAGGCAAGCTAATATGTGCAAGTATACACAATAAATGCAAGCAATATAGTAGTGAGTGAGTATCGTCTCCACAGGGATTGGATTAGAAATATATTTTCACCACAACTAAAACTAATGCCACAAATTAATCCTACTAAGTATTACAACTAAGAACTATTATTAAGGAGCTAAGAATAATGATTCAATGATTTCATACAAGTGTGGTCGAGACAAAAAATATGCAGACAAATAAAATAAAACAAATCAAGTATTGGATTAAATATAATGCAAACAACCTCACATATTTAGACGTGTCACAGAGTACTGATGCTAAACCACTGTCTCGACAATAATTATTTTAAGCCCAGAATGAATTATTATGACTCACTAAACTGCCCGACAGAATTACTAGGTATTCTTAGACGGTTGCTATAGAAATACCTCTCGGCGTTAACTATAGACGTTGTCTTAACCTACTCTAGCCTTTATCCCTTTTAGTCGTTTGAAACTCACTCCTTATCTCTAAGGTAGACAAGTTAGAACTTCACCATCTCGGATTCATTCATGTGCTCACTTTGATATCTCTTAATTCTCTCAAATTCAAGAATCACTTTCTAGACAAAAGGTTATTTCTCGATGCTCTTACAATGCCCAGACATGTTTTACCGAAACACCAGGCGATTTCTCGATGCTCTTACAGTGTTAAGGCAAAATATTTAAACTATGAGCAAAACAATCATAAGCAAACATAATTCATCATTCATAAACATAAAATATTAATCAAGCAAAACAAAGTTTAACACTAAGTAAAGCATTCATGGTGTTATCAAAGATCATCCAAGATTAAACTGTTTCATACAACCCCAAATAAAATAAGAGTTTAAGAACAAAGGAAGAACGACTCCCAAAACTGGGGGCTCTATCGTGACAATCCTGATCAGCACCACGCCTGCCTTTATGATAACCCTTTCTCGAGGCCTGATCACCGCTCTGCTATCATCTGGCTATAGAGGAGACCAAGGAAAACTAGGGGGTAGATGGAGGGAAAGCACTACAATTTCTTGCTCACGCATAAGGTAAAGCTCCTCTTTCTTCTTCCTTGCCCTTTTTTTCTTTTTGCAGCTACGGCTGGTAATTATAAGGAGAATCTCCTAGGGCTTTGCATGCTTTTGGTGTTTCCTTAATTAGCCGTTATTAATTTTCCAAACTTAAAAAGAAAAGGCGGCTGGCGGTTATCAGGATATTCAAGGCTTGCTTGCACGTGAAGTAGGTCATCCAGCTGGCATGTGACATAGGTGGTTTCGCCACATTTGCTTTAGACTTCTTCAGATAAAGCTTGCCTCGGTGAGATAAATATGCTCATCACGTTCTCATATGCTCTATTGGCCTTTGCAACTTTTCATTGTCACGACTGAAATGTTCTTCCTCTATAGAATTCCTACACAAACACAACTCAAACAACCTCTTCTCCTCACCAACATCAGTTAAGCCAAATAAATCTTGCCTAGGCAAAACTTATCCACCACAACCTATATGTAACTAAATGCAACTAAAAATACAGTGCATACTTTGTTTAGACGAGCAATAACTTAAGTGAAAAGACTAGAATTTAAGTCTTTTTACGGAGTTATCACACCCCCAAACTTAAGCTATTGCTTGTCCTAAAGCAATGGATAATAGCTAGAAGAAAATCAAAATTGTCATGGCAAAGCAGTATCAAGAACATCATCAAGTTTGAGATTTTAGCCCTCAGCAAAAATATGTGGCCTTAACATGTTCGACAGTCATATTAGTCAAGTCCCTTCCCTAGTCAAGATCCTTTGCTATTTTGTGTGCGTGATTGTAACCAGTCTATGCATAAAGGTAATTAGAAAACTTAAAGTAAGCACTTCTAGGTTGCCAAGGCAACAAATTATTCATCAGGTTTAGTTTATACTCGTAGTTATTTATCAACTTTAATTCTCTTTATTCACACTTTTTTTTATATAGGGGAGTCAGCTCATCACAACTACCGTTCCACATTCTAGGTGAAAGGGAGCATACCTTCCATCCAAGCTAGTCGGACAGAGTCATCTTGTGACTACTTTCATTCACTCATATTCCTTGGCTACTCTTAATTTCTTTTGGAGTTTTTATTATTCATGCCTTTGCACAGAGGAGTTTCCCTTTGTATTTTTTGAGTTTTCAAGTTTTTAAACACTAGAGAGTTTTTACCTTACCCTTAGAATATTTTTGAAGTCTCGGGAATTAGAAAGTTATTTCCTAAAATTTTTACAGATTACCTAGAGGAAAGATAACCTACAATCGTGTTTATAAGTTTCAAAGGATCAAGCCTCGGGTTGGTTCTCTTCTTCAGACATTCTTTACAATAATTCTGGCCTAGGCAATAAAATTTTGCATTCATCATTGGGCAACCCTAATTAATTCCTAACAATAATCCTAACTTACTTATGTCATGACAACCAAAATTTTCAACCAATTAACATCAATTAATATTTAAAAAAGTATGGCAGAATGGACAATACATCCCCCAAACTTGAGGGATCAATTACCCTCAATGCATGAAAACTACACTAAATGTTGTTATATGCAAATGCGAAAAAAATGAAAACTACAAAAACTTACTCTGGTGGTGTGGCTTGACTGGACGCCCTCGTACGACGTCGTTTGGGAGGGGAAGGGCTCTCGGATCTTGAGTCTACTGCTTTTGGATGAGAAGGAGATGGTTGAAGTATAGTCCCCATTGTTCTCTTGTATCGCTTCTTGCTGGTCGAAGCTTGGGCTGGAGTGGACTGCTCGGTCACTGGAGTCGGTTGTGCTAGAACTGGTGGTGGACTAGGAGCTGCTGTTGGGGCTGGTAGTGTTGATCGAACTGGGGATATAATAGGATCTTGCTCAGGATGCTTCGGTGCTGGCATGAAATCTTCATCAGTGAATAAGTGGGGTGGAGTATCACTACTGCTTTCGGTGGTGGAGAAGGATGAGAAACTCCTCGGTGTCGCCGTGGCTTTCTTCTGGTACGGGTGGGACATGGGTTGCCAATGGTGGCACATCGGTGGGCACCTCTGGTAGAACATCTGGAGGGACATAAGATGTCGAGGCAAGGAATGTGCTGCCGCCTACAATGTAGTTGAGGATGAAACTGGGAAAGGTTGGCAGTGTGATCATTGTGGTTGGGAGTAACTCGTTGATGAAGGCGTTGAGTTGCATATCCCTTGCCTTGGCGTATTCAAAGTAAATTTTCATGTGGTTATCCAGGCGCCTAATCTTTTCACGCGTCTCATGCGTGTGCATGACCACAACGGCCATTCTTGTCGCGGTAACCAATTTTCCTCCTCGTTTCAGACCCTCCTTTAGGTCGTCATCATTGAAACTCATCAACTCGGGGACTTTTTTCTTTGTAATACCCTCCTTGGGTTTGATGAAGTCTTCGAATGGTTCCTCAGGAACTTTTTTCTTTCTGCACAGCGCGGTTATAAGGTTTGGGAATAGTATGTTACCACGGTTCTTCTTGGCACAGTCATGGATCTGCTCAAAGATGATTTCACCCACATCGATTGTCCTACCGTATATGATCGAGTGCAACAGCATCAGTCGCTTGACGAGGACAGTGGTGTTATGGGACGTTGGCATCATCTTGCCTTTAAGAAAATGGTTCTATAGTTTCATGTGTGGTTTAAGGGCTTGGCGATCTACTCACTTTCTTATAGGGGCATTCCCTTCAAACTTGGCCCACCCAAAACATAAATCCTGTAGAACTCCACCGTACGTTTCTTGATCTACATGGAGCACAAATCTCTTGTGCTGGTCATCCACTTTCCCCAACTTAAAGTATTTGTTAAGTGTAGAAGGGGAAAAGTGAATGAGTTTTCCTCGATCATATACCATGTGGTTAGAGGTGTCCGCGACATGGGCCTAAAACTCCCTCACCATTGCTGGTGCTACGGCGTTAGGATTACGAGCAAACTTCTCCCAGTTATGCTTCTTTATGACGTCCATCACCTCAAGGCCAAACTGCTCTTCTCCCTTGGCTGGAAAAACAAATCCATCTTCCAAAAAGACTTAGTGTTGCTGAATGGTTTTGAAGCGTGCCTCTTCTTTGGCTGTTTGGAAACATTCAAAACTCTGCCTGGGGGCTGGGGCCGGTCTCGATCTCACCATTTTTCTTGGCTGATTTTAATGGTGGTGATGGGGAGGTATTTTCAGAGAAAGAAAAGAAATTTTCTGGTTTGTAAAGAAAGAAGGAAACACGATGAAGAAGAAGAAGAGTGGGAAGTTTTTCTTGGAATGTGATGGGTGGTTTCGAGGCATTTTGGTCTTTACACGGTGGGGAAAAGATTTCTCATTAAATGATAAATATTTGATAAGACATAAAGGGGAAGAAATGATTTCTTTCCCTCTTTATTATACCGCCAAAACATGTACCCTAGGGATTTTTTTCCATGCATGCTTCAACTCCCCATGCTGCCACGTGTTCCTTGCTCACCTACAATATGAAAGAAGAAAATAATAAAATAAAACGGATTAAAGCATAAAATAACGTAACTTATTTATGTACAGAATTCAGATTTTTTTTGCCTAGGCAACTAATATTTGCTCAATTAAGAAAACAAACTCTTGGGCATCATGTGCCAACGATGCTGGTCTATCACACATGACTGGGGCTCCTTTGTAATTCTTGAGTCTCTGCCCGTTCACTTTAAAGATGAAACCATCATTTTGGTTTTGAATTTCAATTGCTCCATTGTCATGGACTTGGTGTACAATTAATGGTCCTAACCATCGTGATTTTAGCTTGCTTGGGAATAACTTAAGGTGTGAATTATAGAGCAGTACTTGTTGTCCAGAATAAAATTACCTCAGAATATTTTTCTGTCATGCCATCATTTTCTTTTCTCCTTGTAAAGGCGGGTATTCTCGTATGCATGTGCTCTAAATTCATCCATCTCGTTATGTTCTAATAGTGTTCTTTCTCCAGCAAGCTGAGCATCCATGTTTATCTTTTTGATGGCCTAATAAGCTTTGTGTTCGAGTTCAACTAATAGATGACATTTCTTTCCATAGACTAGCTTGAATGGGGATATTCCCAGTGTTGTCTTGAATGCTGTGCGATAAGCCCATAGTGCTTCATCTAGCTTTGGCGACTAATCTTTCGACTTGGGTTGACCATTTTTTTGAGGATATGCTTGATTTATCGGTTAGATACTTTGGCTTGTCCATTCGTCTGAGAGTGATACGCCATAAAATTTTTATGTCGTACTCCATATCTTTTCAGTGCCTTGGCAATCAATTTATTATCAAAATGTGTCCCTTTATCGCTAATGAGAGCTCGTGGTGTTCCAAAGCGGGTGAATATATTTTTGTACAAAAACTTCAACACCGTCTTGGAATCGTTCTTAGGTGTTGCAATGGCTTTAACCCATTTTGATACGTAATCCACTACCAAGAGAATATACTTATCTCCGAATGATGTTGGAAAAGGTCCCATGAAATCTATATCCCATACGTCGAAAAGTTTGATATCCAGAATATTTTTCCATGACATCTTATGTCATTTAGAGATGTTTCCTGTACGTTGACATCTATCACATGACTTGTAGAATTCATGCGCATCTTTGAACATGGTTGGCCAATAAAATCCCGACTGAAGCACTTTTTTTGTTGTTCTCATCCCACCAAAATGCCCTCCATATGGTGACGAGTGGCATTGGAGTAGAATATCTTGCTGCTCTTCTTCTGGAATGCACCTTTTGATTATTTGGTCTCCGCACTGCTTGAATAGAAATATTTCGTCCCAATAGTAATGTCGCGCATCATGTCGAAATTTCTGTTTGCCCTGGCATGATAAATCAAGAGGAACAATACCACTAACAAGAATATTAACGATGTCAACATACCATGGTGCAACCCTGACAAATAATATTTTCTCATTAGGGAAATCCTCTTTAATATATGTGATGTCAAGACAATCAGGTTTGTTATCTAGCCTAGACAAATGGTCAACCACTTGATTTTCTATACCTTTTCTATCCTAGATCTCTAAATCAAATTCTTACAGTAATAATATCCACCAAATTAGTCTAGGTTAATCATATATTTAATAGTTGAGTGATCTGTGTGGACAATTACCTTAGTGCCTTTTAGATATGGCCTAAACTTATCGAATGCAAATACTACTGCTAAGAGTTCCATTTTAGTGGTGGTATAGTTCACTTGAGCATCATTAAGTGTTCGGCTTGCATAGTAGATAACTTGAAAAATTTTACTTTTTCGTTACCCTAGCACTGCTCCGACTGCATAATCACTAGCGTCGCACATAAGCTCAAATGGTTCGTTCCAGTCTGGTGGGATAACTATTGGTGCTGCTGAAAGCTTTTTCTTCAAATCTGTGAAGGTATTCAAACAATCATTAGTAAACTCAAATGGATGATTTTGTTGAAGCAAAAGACATAAGGGTTTAGAGATTTGAGAAAAATCATTTATGAACTGTCTATAGAATCTTGCATGTCCAAGGAAACTGCATACACCTCGCACATTAGTAGGTGGGGGAAGATTTGCAGCTACATCCACCTTGGCTTTGTCGACTTCGATGCCATGGCATGAAATTTTGTGTCCCAACACTATTCTTTCAATTACCATAAAATGGCATTTTTCACAATTCAGTATTAGGTTGGTTTCTTCACAACTTTTCAACACCTTGGATAAATTACCGAGGGATCGATCAAAGTCATCACCTGAAACGTAGAAGTTGTCCATAAATATTTCCATGCACTCTTCCACCATATCTGAAAAGATTGCCATCATGCATCGTTGGAATGTAGCTGGAGCGTTACACAGTCCAAACGGCATTCGCCTAAATGCATAGGTACCATACGGGCATGTGAACGTTATTTTCTCTTGGTCTTCGGGTGCTATGACAATTTGGTTATACCCCGAGTATCCATCGATGAAGCAATAAAATGCCTTTCCCGCTAATCTATCCAATATTTGATTGATGAAAGGGAGGTAAAAATGATCCTTCTTTGTGGCTTTGTTGAGCTTCCTATAATCCATGCATATGTGTCAGCCCGTAACTGCTCTTGTGGTGAGTAACTCATCATGCTCGCTTTTAACCACGGTTACACCACCTTTCTTTGGCATGCATTGGCCTGGGCTAACCCATGAACTATCGGATATAGTATAAATCACTCCCGCATCTAGCCATTTTATTATTTCCTTCATGACTACCTTCTTTATAATCGGGTTGAACTGTCTTTGGGGTTCCATCGAGGTATTATGGCTATCTTCAAGATTGATTTTACGCATGCATATGGTTGGACTAATTCCTTTCAAGTCTTCCATCGTCCATCCTATAGCTTTTCTGTTCTGTGACAAAACATTCAACAAACTCTTCTCCTGTTCGGAGGTTAGGTTGGCAGAGATTGTCACTGGTAAAGTTTCATCAACTCCTAGATAAGCATATTTCAAATATGATGCTAAAGTCTTAAGCTCTAATTTCGGTGCATGTTGTGAAGATGACTATTGAGATTTAACTTCATCAAAATCTAAAGGTTCAAATTTTATACCTGACATATGAAGAAATCTCAATTGGTCCTTTCTATTTTCTTCGTATATTGCCTTTGTAATGCTTTTAGGGTATTTAGTGTGCAGATTTTTGTTGTCGTGGCCATGATTGTCAGAACCGTCTTCTGAAAATATTTCGTCAGGGTCAAAGTTTTCTGCGTCATGTATTTCGGTTCTAGGTTCATGGTACAAATTACTGTACTCATCGAGCCTTAGGGATTCACCTCATCCTAGGATTGCCTTTTCTTCAATCTTATTAATGCATTGGCATTCCTCTGGATCGTTTGCTTATTTCATAGAGTTGAATACATTGATCGTGACACTTTGCTCGCCAACTCTCATGGTGAATTTTCCCTTTTCACAGTCTATTAGGATTCTTCCTGTGGCTAAGAATGGTCGTCCCAAAATGATTGGTGCGTTTTCACCAGCTTCGCAATCCAGAATGAGAAAATCCACTGGAAATACGAAT